CTGTCTTGGCACCCGAGGCCACGAGCATGTAGCCGAGGGTGCGCAGTCGGCCGTCGACGTCAAACAACACGCCGCGCGCAGTGGCCACGACGTCCTCGTCGCTGGGCAGAGCCAAGAGACACTCGAGGGCGTGGAGCACACGCCGCTTGTCCTGGAACGAGTCGGCACGTCGATGCGGGCGCAGAATACTGAGAAGCACGGGGCGCACCGTCTCGGACGCAAAGCGATGCCACGCCTCGGCGTCGACGCCCGAGACCTGTGTGAGGCGCGCCACGAGCCGCAAACAGACGCGCTGCAATGGAAGCGCCACGGCCGCGTCGACGGCGACGGCGACCGTCAGAAGCGCGCTGGCATGGACGTTCGTATCGATGAGGAAGGCGGCGACAAACCGCGCGAGGTCGACGGACGCTTCGGCCATCGCCAAGAGCAAGCACATGGTCGCGTCGAAAAGCGGCGCGTTGGATGCGAGACACTGCCGAAGCAGCGGCACCACGCGCATCTTGCGGCGCAGCAGGAGGCTCATGAGGAGCGACGAGCCGAGCGTTGGCGTCACGCTGGCAAAGCACCGAAGCAACGCGGCAAGCACGAGCATGTCCTTGGCGCTGCACGGGTACGTTCCGAGGAGACGCAAGAGATCCTGGCCGTGGGTCTCGACGAGAAGCCACCACCGCAAGCTGTACAAGTGGTGCAGATATGCCCGGTGCGAGGACGCCGATGTGAGCGCTTCGAGATGCGCCTGGACGTACATGGGTGTCCACTCGGCCGCCACAAGTTGCTGCGGAGGCAGAGGGGACGCGGGTGCTGATGCCAGTAGTGGCGTGGGCCAAGGCGTGTCGATGGACATCCAGACGCTCGCGTGCAGGTCAAATGTCAGCAAGAGCATCGACGGGGTCGACGCCAAGTTATCCTCTTCGAGCGTCCAGATGTCGCGGGCGACCGTGATGGACAAGAGGCAGACGTACGCGCCAGCGCGAAGCTCGGGGTTGGCCTCCGCGCCGGCGCATAGAAACAGCGCGCGGAGGCCGTCGACTTGGGATTAAACTACTTGCGCGCAAACGCTGACTGTGCCAAGAGCCGGTCGAGCAAAAGGACGACGTTGGGTGCCATCGAGGCTTCATTGAAGAGCTGCACCATCCGGCCGCGAGGTCGCCAAGAACGTCGAGGACGGTCAAAAGAAGCGTCGCCGACGTCGAGGTGTTTGGATAGTCGTAGTACGCGTCGTTAAAGCCCACGGAAGACTCGAGAAGCGGCGTCGCGACGAGGTGTAAGAGGTATTAGAGCGTCGCCGGGCGCTGCAAGAAGACTTGGGGCGGAGAGTCGATGATCGCCGCGTTGCGCAGCCGCCGCACGATACCAAGCACATCCATGGGCCGCGCCCAGAGCTTGAACTTCACCTCAAGCTCGAAGAGTAGCTTGTCGTCGGCCTCGGAGACTGCGACGGGCAGGAACGTCCAGGCACGCGCCGTGTCGGTCGACGCCTCGGCCAGCGCAGGAGCCTCCTTGTTGACCTTTCGAGGCTGAGCTGGCGCTAGCGTCGTGCTACCCAGCGTTACGCGCGGTCGCACGACCGGTGCCGGGGCGTTGAGCTGCTGCAGGAGGGTCGCGGCAGGCTGTCTGCGAGCATGGACCGGAGCGCCTGCAGAAGCGTCGACGGCGCCGGCCAGAGCCCACAGCTGACCTTAGTCTCGATCGGGTGGAGGGCGCGGACGCGGATCTCCTCGATCGGTGCGCAAGCTTGCGCACGCGCCCGCTTTCATGGTTTTTAACCTTATTTCTACGCGTTAAAGTGGGGAGGGGGTCCATTTCAAATCGACAGGTCCCCTCCAAAGCAAAATACTTGCAAATCGTTGCCGTTTCAGTAGCACCCCCTACTGTATATCGGGACGGGTCGGAACATCCGGATGAGATCCGGGATTGGCGCCAGCGGATCCATTGTCCCAGTGCTGCCCGCAATGTCCCAAGGACCTTGCGACCGTGTGTGTGGAGCGCCCCCGAGCCGTACGTACCTGCATCGTCCAAGTCGACGGCGGCTAACACTGTCTGCCAGGCGTCGAGAGCCTCGGTGGCGGCTTTGGCCAGCAGCACGACCGCTTCGTGAGCTACCACGCCATTGGCAAGCATGCGCTTCTCTAAGAGACGCCGGTCCACGAGAGCCGCGCCGACAAGCCAGCGTTCGGCATGGCGTCGATCGTCATCGAGCTGCCGGGTACGTTGCACCTTTGGCCTGTATGCTGGCGGAGGACATGTAGACGGCGTTGCGCCGCAGGGCGTCCGCGTCTTCGAGTCGCTCGACAAGCCGTTTGTCTCGATCTGCGTCATCACGCGCGCCAAGACAATCCCCTGCTCCTGCTACAAGATCGAGCCTACGCTCCTCTCGACCGAAGGCCGGTACGAGGGCTCGCTGCTGCTCCAGACGTCGATCAGCGCCGTGTGCTGGCTCGACGGGTGCAACGTGGTCGTGGGCAGCGACGACGGGCGCCATGATT